GCCCAACAATAACTATATCTTATGCTTCTTTATATTTACTCCCTTCCCCAGTGTAGGGCCCTCCATGGAGCACCTGCTCACACAATGTTTGACGTTAGTGGCCGTGGTAGTGAAGGAGGTGAGACAGTACTTGACAATCTTACAGAATTCTTTCTTAGCCTTTCAGTGGATCATTATGGTACCGTATGGTGAATGCATCGAGCAGTGTTATCCATCCCTGTGTTATAGCTATTACACATATAAATAAAACAATTTAAATTCATAGGGCCAGTAACTGATGGAGTCAGGGATAAAACCCAGACTCCTAATCCAATGTTCTTTCTTCTGCACTGTACCTTTGACACAGAACTCTAGCATACTATAGAGAAAGTTCTCTTACATGTGATGAACTGTATACTCTTCAACAATTAGCTATAGAAAGAAGTTCAGAGAGTCTCACCTTTATAGTTTTTCCTCTTCCCTTTCTTTTTTTTCTTCTATCCCTCAAATGTTTGAGTGATTGATCGATTGATTTTTCTCTTCCCTTTCTATATGACGCTTGACTACTTTACTCTCATTTCTCTTATTCTCTCAGTCAGAGGTCCCCATTTGATGCTCCCAGGCCATTCTCCCTAGAGGCCTAATGGCGCCCCTGGTAATGTGAGTGGTTTCTTTCCTCCTGTTCGTGGTCCTACTCCTGGGAATAACTCCTGTCATCCTCAGAGCTTCACTACCACCCTGTTTTTCACATGGGATAGTTCTAAATGCTCTGTTTGTGAATATCTAAACTTAGTGACTGGGGAGAGAAACTGGCATAAGGCTTTCTATTGGGAGTTTTCTAGATGGAATAATCTCAGTTGGAAATGAAGCAAAAGTCATGCAGACACATTGAGATTTCAGATAGCAGCTATGCTTTCGGCTCAGGTAATTAATAAATCAAAAATAACTTTGTACTAGTCTGCATATCCAACCAAAAAGGTGTTCTGATTTATTAGCTTGTTGAAGTAATTGATAAGGTAATTGAGCCAATAATAATTAGACTCCCACTTGCTTCTCTGTCTAAATCTTAGAAGAACAAAAAGAGGATGAGGGGCCGGCCGAGTGGCGTGATGGTTAAGAACTGGCTTGGGATGCCGGAGGGCCCCGGTTCGGATCCCACATATGAGGGCCAGTGACACTGCCCTCTACAGCTAAGATGCTGAACAACA